AAACACTGCTACAGGACTTCAAGCCAATAGCTTGAAGGTGCCCTATATTCCACTGGGAAAGTGAAGGAAAAAAAAGATCAATAGAGACGTAAATTAACAACCAGTCACGATAGTGGTTGCCAGGAGATACAATTACATCATTGATCATGGAAAATTTAAATGAGTCCATTTTATACGAAAACCTGCACTGAAGGGAGATGTTGTCTACAAGGTGGACGACGAAAGCTTCACAATTAAAACATCAACCAGCTCAGACAACACAACTAATTCAATATCTATAGAGGGTTCGAAACCTGATGCGCTTACAGTGGTTTGCAAAGTCAGATGGCATCACTACCTCCTATGAGATATCACAATTATGCATTTATTTCCCTTGATAAATTTGAATAAAGCGAGAACAACAGTGACGGTTTGTGCAGAATAACGTGGTACCATCATTTATTTCGTTGGCTTCTCGTCAGCTGCTTACAGCCTAAATAAATTTTCAGGTTTAAGTACAGAAACGTTTTAACATACTTGCAAATTTTCATGATGTCAGTTGACAGAAGCTTCCACAATTAGTGAACAGTGCTCAGAAAATTGCGCTTATATAGTTTTTACACAGACAGTTCAAGTTAAAACAAAATAAATGTATGCCTATAATGGTAAGGAGTTGCATAATAAAGATGAGATCTGTGTTAGATGCATAGTGACTAATAAGTTAGGTAACAATGTACTGAGTTGAACTCAAATCATAGAAACAAGAGACAAACAAAATTAAAGATTATAAAAGGAGGGTGAGGTTAAAGACAAAGACTACACAATCAGATGAGAGAAAAAAGATATCCAGTTACCAAGGCAAGGGAAGACTAATAACTGCTTCTTTCTGAACACATAAATCTGGTTTCAAGCGTTTGATAGAAATTGCTTCGGCAAACTTGAGGAGAATGGAGCTCCTTTGTCTATTGATAATTTTGAAGGATTTCTCGATTTCCACCTCATGACCCGTGTCGAGGAGATGTCTGGTAATAGCGCTACTATAAGAGTTTATTCCCTTGAAACGTAGGCTTTTCGGCACATGTTCAGAAAATCGGAGGTGTGCCCTTCTTTCTGTTCTCCCAATGTAACTGCTCCCGCAGATACACGTAAATTTGTATACACAGTTGGAGTTAACATTAGAAGGGTATCTATCGACTTTTGACTGCACCAAAGAGCATGTTGTTCGATGGACGGGAACCAACTTAGCTGCAGGATAGGCTCTGGCTAGTGACGTACTCAGTCTTCTGTTGACCATTTCTGCAATGTCTTCACCTTTAAAATCTAGTTGAATGAAGACAGGCTTTTTTTCGACTGTGATTTGTTTGGTATTTGGGCCTTCACATCTTCCATATTTGTTAATGAATTTTTGAGTATAGCCGAAAGTCATGCCTCCTACCTACTCAGACTATTCAACAACGCACATACAAATATTGTATTTACTATGGAACATGAAAATGATGGACAGTTCCATTTCCTTGACGTCGCCATAAAACGCCTAGAAGATGGTAGCCTCCAGAGGTCAATCTACCGAAAGCCTACATGGAATGGACAATACTTACATTTTAACAGTTTTTGTCCAAATAGCTATAAACAAGCACTAGTCAAGACTCTGTACTATACAGCGAGGAGAATATGCTCTGCAGAGAAACTAGAGGAAAAATTCACGAATTTCGAGAAGGTGCTGAAAAACAACGGCTACCCCCAAAAATTCATTAACAAATATGGAAGATGTGAAGGCCCAAATACCAAACAAATCACAGTCGAAAAAAGCCTGTCTGCATTCAACTAGATTTTAAAGGTGAAAACATTGCAGAAATGGTCAACAGAAGACTGAGGATGTCACTAGCCAGAGCATATCCTGCAGCTAGCTAAGTTGGTTCCCGTCCATCGAACAACATGCTCTTTGGTGCAGTCAAAAGTCGATAGATACCCTTCTCATGTTAACTCCAACTGTGTATACAAATTTACGTGTATCTGCGGGAGCAGTTACATTGGGAGAACAGAAAGAAGGGCACACCTCCGATTTTCTGAACATGTGCCGAAAAGCCTACGTCTCAAGGTAACAAACTCTTATAGCAGCGTTATTACCAGACATCTCCTCGACACGGGTCATGAGGTGGATATCGAGAAATCCTTCAAAATTATCAATAGGCAAAGGAGCTCCATTCTCCTGAAGTCCCAAACTAGGACGAAGCAGCTGTCCATTACTCCCAGGTGTTCCAGTGGTTCTCTAACTGATGTCAGCTCATGATTAAATCCTCCATGCAATCAAACAAAATCCCTACAAAACCAATACTTGAAAATTAATCTGTGCTCACTAGTGACTGGCCCTGTTCAGGCAGTTAACCTGGGGTTCTAGTGGGAAGCCGTGACCAGTAGGGTACAGCAGGTTGAAGATGAGGCAGTAACTCATCGAAGAAGACATTGCGAAGTGGTCGCGCTATGTCGTGAATTCGCAGAAGTTAGAATTCAAGAATCATTGGATCGGGTCCCAGTGGCTCAATGGTCTACGAGCTCGCCTTGTAACCAGAAGGTCCTGGGTTCTAATTCCAGTGGATGCGTACTGATGAAGATTCCCAAACTAGGACGAAACAGCTGTCCAGTACTGCCAGGTTTTCCAGTGGTTCTCTAAGTGATGTCAGCTCATGATCAAATCCTCCATGCAATTAATTTTAAGACACGACCTCCTTCAATTTCATCATCGTTGTACTAATGGATTTAGCCCTAACTCACTTCAAAGACTCATGGATTAACTTGCTACCCGGGAAGGAATAATCTCGTTGACTTAGAATATGCAGATGATGTAGTCCTTCCAGGTGAAGACACTGACATAATAGAGGAGAGTCATCTGAACACCTTGAGCTGCAATCTACGAATGTTTGGCATGCGATTTGCTCCCGCCAAATGCAAGATGATGTTACAGGACTGGACTACACTGACTCCTAGTTTAGAAATAGGGAGTGAAGTGGTAGAGCACGTTGACCGCTTCACTTATTTGGGAAGTACCATCAGCCAACGCCAACGGGTCGGTCGCTGAAGAAATCTCAGCATAAATACAGGAGACTAGTTTCGCATATGCCAGTTTATGTCGCCTCTGGCGTAGAAGAGATATCCGGCTGGCTATCGACCAAAGGGCGGGTGTACTGTTCAGCTGCTTGCTCCGTCCTCCTTTATGGCTGGCTTTGAGACCTGGCCATTGAGAGTGGAAGACATGAAAAGACCAGCTGTCTTTGATCATAGGTGCCTGCGCTCTATCTTCCGTGTGAAGGGGTACAATAAGATGAGCAATATTGAGGTTAGGCGTCGAGTTCTAGGTTAGGAGCTGAAATCAATCGACAAGGCTGTGAAAATACACCGATTGAGATGGTTAGAACGTGTGTTACGTATGCATGCCTAGTCATCGCCTTCCTCGACAATGGGAAATGTTAGCTGACTGACATAGGGGCAGACTGGAAAAGAGCTGGCGGTGGTCAAACCAAAACATGGCACCAGTCAACGAAATCGACAACAATTAGTTTGAGCCATGTAGGGAGATGTAGACTTCTTGGTTGGTATCCTCAGGACGGTAAAAACCAATGACAGATGAAGACAATTGGTGATATGGCTAGCTCAAAATCGTTCTCAATGGCTGGCGCAGATGCATCCACTCCTTGTGACTTATAATACCCAATAAAACTGTGTTATCACTATTCCTTTGTCTCACACCTCTGTTTACTGTTTGTATTTTGCACTCCTTCTACTTTCTTCTCTTGCTTTGTGTGATACATGGATGGAGAGTAGCGACTTGAACTGGTGCACACCGGTGCAAAGTTCTATGTTGAAAACAGACAGAAAGACAGATTGGCGCTTGCTGTTGTTGTTGTTGTTGTTGGTCAGTGGGTATCTTCATCACCTCTGTCTTCTATATGTTCACTTGAAGTCGTATCTTTACTGGCAGCCTCTTCTGCTAACTTATTGATTTTCGCTTGCAAATCTTCGAGTTTATGTGATATTGAACATTAATCTTTCGTGAAGTTCAGGTTTTCCCTAGAGTTTTCTTATCTGTCCAACACGTGTTCCTGTCTAATCGCTCATCACACACAATGTGTCGTATAATCCAGTCCAATATCCTTGTGGATGACAGCAGGCAGACAGCCAGACTTGTCTTACTCCTATATCTTCACTTCAGATTTGTCTGTCTGTCTGTCTGTTTTCGACATAAAACTTTGCACCCATGTGCACCAGTTCAAGTCACGACACTCCCTCTATGTAGCACACAAAGCAAGAGAAAAGATTAGAAGAAATGCATATTAGAGACAGTAAACAGAGGTGTGAGACAAGGGAATAGTAATAATGAAGAACGATATAGTTTCATTGGAAATCATAAGTCACAAGCAGTGGATGCATCTTAATCGGCCACTGAGAACGATTTTGAGCCATATTGTCGCCAATTGTCTCCAGCCACTAGTGTTTACCGTCCCGAAGACCCTAACCAGTCAGGAATCTGCACCTTCCTACGTGGCTGGCTTAGACTAACTGTTGTCGATTTCGTTGACTGGTGCCATGTTTTGGTTTGACCACCATTAACTAGCTGTTTTCTATCCTGACCCTATGTTAGTCAGTTAACATTGCCCATTGTCGGGGAAAGCGATGACTAGGCATGCATACGTAACACATGTCCTAACTATATCTCAGTCGATGTAATTTCACAGCCTCGTCGATTGATTTCCCCTCCCTCCTTATCTAGCACTCGACCAAAGCCTAACCTCAATATTGCTCACTTTATTATACCACTTCGCAAGGGAGATAGAGCTCAGGCACATTTACTTCAGATGACTTCACTTACACACACACAACAGGTATAATTTATTGTCAACTACGCGAAAAGGCAATCGATTTCTCGGGTAACAGTGACAATAAATTTTCCAGAATATAAACTTTTATTTCATTGCTCATTATTGAAATAATAATAATTTAGGAGAAAATGTATTTGTCGATTTTAGCCTAGAATACTTGTCAATCTAACCAGAACATGGCGGAAGAAGAACACGAATAAGAAGACGGATTTAGTGAATATAGATACAATTGCACGGAAACTGCATACTTCAAATAAAGCAAGAAATTATGAAAGATGTACACTTGGATCGATTGGACGAAAGGAGATACAGTTAGTATAGATAATTTGTCTATTTTATGATACATATCATTCGTATTGTTTTATTGTTGTAAATCTTTGTTAAGTTCAGGTATTCTTTCCAGGTATTGGTTTGCAGGGATTTCATTATGATGAGCGGATATCGGTTAGGGAGGACAATATGTGCATCCTGAATTCCATTATCAGTCCCCACCTATCAAACTTCTTCTAACCATTAATATATGTGTAAAACTTGGGCACTGTGGTAGTAAGTAATTCCATATTAGTCAGTTTATTAAATATATCACAGTGAAATAGTGTTAATATTTAACTGGATGACACTGTTTCGAACACAATTCACCATTGTTCATGATCATATGCTCAATTATAAGCACACAACTTCGAAACTTGAGTTTTATAGTTTTCTTTATTCCTACCCCTATTCGTCGTCGGTTGAGGTAGTAGAATATTCCAGATATCTGGTTGGACAGGTGTTGAATCATTCCTATTACACATGTTCTCTTCAGTTGATTCGATGAATAAAGCTTCCGTTATCAAACTCTCCCTCTATTCACCCTGTTATATTAGATTTTAAAACTGTCATCTTATCCCATTCTGTTGTAGGGTTGCGTGTGTATAATTGCATGTGGTGATATAGCTGATAGCTATTCTCCAGACTTCTTATCTTATATGGGTTAACCAATCTAGATTTTGCAGCTAAGTTTTTATGCTCGGCTAGTCTGACTGACTGCCCCTGTTCTACTAGTTTGACCTATGTATTTGACCTGACAATCATTGCAGACAGGGTATTAGATAAACGGAATTGTTTTACTTTAAGTGCTTCACAGAACTGGTCCTTTAACCTATAAAGCTTGTTTCTAATTGAGTTTGTGGGTGGCTTGAATGCCAGCCATATATATATATAATATAGAATGCATGACAATTACTCAATTATAAGTACATACTAATGACTAATCATATTTAAATAGGTCAAGTTTACTTGACATGGTAGGCGAAGGTTGAAGTCTATTGTGTTATTTTTGTACACATAGTTTAGATTGTATGTGATGATTAATCCAAAGTGCTTCCATCGCCTTCATAACCAACTTTGAATTAGAGTTATGTGATGAAATAATTGTGAGGCTATGATTAATATTGATTTTGTGACCTGACATTAATAAGTGTTTTGCAATGGATGATGATGCTGATGGACTTCTTTCCAGATTAATAATCGGATTGGGATTTTCTATATGATTTAGTAGCCATTTTGGAACATGTTCTTTTCGACCACGACATTGGAACATTCTGTTGGTTCTACCTATATAAGTGTCACCGCAACTACAATGAAACTTGTAGATACAGTTTGGGGTAGAGTCCACAGAATTTTGTCCTTTAATCGTGGGTACAGGGATAGAAAATGTTCGGCATGTGAGAAAAAGAGAAGCGGCGTCGAACGACTGCGCTTGATGACTGACCGAAGTCTTTGAGCTAGCTGTCAACTGCATAATCTGGTCACCCTTGAATGATAGGTTAATAAAAATAGCTTTCTTTGGTACAGAAGCTGTCTTTTCAGGATGTCCTCTATCCTTACTGTGACAAGTGATAAAGTTTTCTGGATAACCATTAGCCAATAAAACTGAATGTATATGTCGAAGTTCATCCATCAATGTGTCAGTCGTGCATATTTTTCTCGGGCCCTTGAGAACAAAAATTTCACTAGGGAACGCTGATACTGGATAGGAACAAAACTGGTGAATTGAAGATATTATCCACTCCATGTCTGCTTAGGAAATATAGGTCGTTTAATCATTTCATCGTCTCTCCTAGTCATTGAAATATCTAAGAAAGCGAGTATGTTATTTGATTCTAGTTCGGAAGTCACTCGGATATTTGAGTCATTATGATTAAATAGAGTAACAAAGTTTTCAATAGACTTACTATTATTACCAATAATAAGAGTATCATCTACATAACGTTTATAAAGCATTACCTTACATTTGTTTCTCCAGTTTTGACCTGAATATATCAGCTAATAGGGGCCCAAAAGGGCTCCTCATCGCAACACCATCGATTTATTTTTATGTCTTTTCTTGGAAAGTAAATCTGATATTTTCTGTACATGTTAAGATCATGTCTCTGATGTAAGTGACAAGAATAGGTAAGCGTATCCCATTGCTTGTGATGTAATCGCAAATGAAATCAACAGTTTCATCAAGTGGAACATTGGTGAATAAAGATCCTATGTCGACTGAGGGCATAATCTTTTACCTAATGTTCAAAGCGTCTTGTATATTAGTCAAATCAAATGAACGTTTTACAGAATGATCTGATAAGGATTCGCTTATGTGCATATATATATATATATATATACTAGTGTATATATGTTGCTTATAAATTCCTTGTGCAATCATGTGAGATATGAACGGACACTAAAAGAAATCAACAAAGTTGCATGAAGTTAATTGGTGGATGGTGACTAGCAGTGGAATCCAGAATTCACATTTCGTCCTATGTGGGACTCGTCATCTAGATGTACCTGCATTCCGCTGCTAGTGATGATGTTCCCACAGACGCTCGAACTCAGACTCCATGATTTCAAAAGCCAAAGCGTTATGCACTAGACCACTTGGGCTACGAGAGCCACCTCTTGTGCAACGAGTCATATTAAATATTTAACTGAATTTTCGATTTTCACGTCAATTGATCGGACCGAAGTGCTCGGTCTCAGGTTGACATATCGGCTTCTTGTGCAGATGCTTCGACGATATCTGGCATGTAATAAGAAGTTAACTGGTGGATGGTGACTAGCAGTGAAATCTAGGATGAGCACTTTACTGCTAGTTATTACCATGCACCAATTAGCCTCAAGTTACATGACCAAACATCATCATCGAAGCATGCGCACAAGGAGAAGTCGACATATCAACCTGAGACTGAGCACTTCGGTCCAATCTATCAACGGAAAAATCTAAAATTCAATTAAATAGTTAATTTATGGGGTTTATTTACGTGGAAAGTATTTCCAACTGACTATTGATGAAGAGTTTCAGTAACAGAGCTACTTACATCGGCTCGATAATGAATATCAGACAGCCAGGCAGCCAGGAGGAACTAAAGGACGGCGATGTTGGGGACAGAGTGGAATGGAGATATCCTGCTCAGGCATTCATTATGTTCCGCTCAGAACCCAAAGGAATAGAAATGATAAATATTGGTGTAGTCACATTCTCTTTGACGGACAGTTTAACTATGAATGTTTAACTGTCTGTCTAGATAACATATTTTTAATGCTAACTTCAGGATACGCTTTAATACATCATTCTGACTGATTAAAATTACCCATTAAAATTTTCAAAAGAATGGTTATTGAACAAAGAATATTCTTTTCGATAACCCCTTCATCGCGAGGATCTACAGTGAATGAATGAATTAGTGTTATGAACAACATTAATGCTGTTTAAATAACATCGAATCAATAATAATAATAATAATATCAATGGACTACAGTTCGATAGCATCAAAAACAACAGTAAACTGAATGTCAGAAAATTTGGGAAAGATGATAACACAAATCCATGAATTTATTATAGTCTCTACTGAAGGCCGGCCAGGATAGTAGTAGGAGCTGACCAGCTGGACTTGCTTCTTCTGCCTACAGAGCACCGGTTGCTTTAGGCAAATCATGACACTCTCTGTTGTTTTGAGTATGGGGTACCTGGATCTTTTTGTACCCGATAGATGATGATAGAGAAGGATTCTTCAATACTGGCTGCTCTGTGGCCAGTGTGAACCAGGTGGTTTAATATCGAACTGTGGATTGTTTTTCACTATACCTTTATTTAGCCATGCTTGGAGATGCTCGCAAGGGAGCACAAAAAATCAGTTTCCTAGAGAAACGGTCAATATAACTCGCTCCACGACAAGTGCAGCTGAATCGCCGGATACAACTGGAATTGGCTAGCTAGCATAGGGTACTACAAGCTACACGTCTTATTCTCTACACGACAGATGTTGATTCCTCGATTGAAAAATGAAGTACCTAAACTAGCCAGACACTTCCAATTGTATCTGACGATTCAGCTACACTTGTGATGGAGCAAGTTATGTTGGCCGTTTCTCTAGGAAATTGATTTTTCGTGCTTTCTCGAGAAAAATGGCTAAGTAAAGGTGTAGTGAAAGCCATCAGCAGTTCGATATTAGGACCACATGGTTCAAACTGGGCCACAAAGCAGCGAGAATTGAAGAATCCTTTTCCCTCATTATCATCTATCGGATACGAAATAAATTGTTAAAAGCATCAAGGTACCAAGTGCCTACTCAAAACAGCAGAGATTGTCACGATTTGCCTAAGACAACCGGTGCTCTGGGGGGTAGAAGCAGCAAGTCCATTCATTGAGTACATTCATTAATTTCACGTATAGGATTTTCTATTTATTCAGTTGTTTTCTGGTTTCTCTCTCTCTCTCTTTAATAGAACATGTTATCAAAGTGCAATTTATGATTCTGTATTTAATTTGGTTAAGAAAAATGACAGTGACGTGATTGATGCTCATGATTTAATTGAAGTGAGTGAGTTTAACATTTTACCGCCTAATATTTACTATTATTAGTATTATTATCTTTTATCAATGCATTATGGTTAGAAGTCTTGAGGTTTTGCGGTAAAACAAATTAGCTGTAATGACAAACACTTGAACCAGTGAATACTGATTGTTCCAGAGGTTGAAGAGACCAAAATTAAGATCGCCTTGTAATCTGAAGGTCCTGTGTTCTGTTCTCATATATGAGAAGAGAATGTGTGGTGATATAATACGGTGACTGATTGATTTCAATATAGAACTTTGTACAGATGTGTACCAGTTCAACCTGCCACTCTCCTTCTATGTACCACAGAAAGCAAGAGAAGAGAGTAGAGAGGGATTCAAGAGAGAGAGACAGAGAGATAGTAAAGAGAATAGTAATGTGAGAGAAGAATAGAATTTTATTATTACGAATTCGACAACGGATTGATATCAGTTAGAGAACGATTGCAAGCCAGCTCGTACACCATTCAACCACTGGTCCCCGATTCCTCAATGGCCAGTCAGCCAGCCAGCCAGCCCATAAATTCTAACTTCTACCAATTCTTGATGCATTTATCACGACTGGCACCAACCATTGTCATCGGTGGGACATCCATCCTCACACACCCTTGACTGGATGGACCTCATTGGACACCACAACTTATCACTAGAACCCACTTCAGGAAACTCCATCCTGTAGCAAGTCACTCAATCACTCACTAGCGAGCATCACATGCTTGCTTCCCTGATTACTATTATTTATGTTATCAAGCAGATCATATATTGTGATTTGGTTTCTATGGGGAAACTATGCTGAAATTTCACAGCCAAAACTGTTCAAATTACAGATTACTAACTAATTGGCTAATTATGAATTTCAAGTGTTGGTTTGTAGGGATTTGATTGGTTTCAGGATTTCATCATGAGCTGACATCAGTTAGAGAACCATTGGAAAACAAACTGGGAGTACTCGTCAGGTGTTTCGTCCTAGTTTGGGACTCTTCAGCAGTACGCACCCACCAGGATTCGAACCCAGGACCTTCCGGTTACAAGGCGAACTAGCTCGTATACCATTAAGCCACTGGGACCCGATCCAATGGTCCTTGAATTCTAACTTCTGCGAATTCACGACATAGCGCGACCGCTAGCCAGTGTCTTCAGTGGCGAGTATTTGTCCTCACATCCGACCAGCTGCACCCTACTGGTCACGGCTTCTCGCTGGAACCCAGGTAACTACCTACCTGAATAGGGCCAGTCGCCAGTGAGCATCTCATTATGAATTTGATTTATGGTATAACCAATTCGCTTAAGTAGCTAGTTAGCCAGAAACCTGATTGTCTGAACCAATTCTTTCTCTGGACTGAATCAAACCGTGCACACCGCTGATGCCTCACAAAGGAGTAAAACTGCCATCTGATGTTTACATCGCTTGAATCTGTCTAACAAGCACTATTGTTGGTTGATATGAGTGGTGTGCAACTACTGATTTTACTTAGCCAGTAGTATATAGAGTTTTGCGCAAAAAGAATTACTTAAGTGTATTGATTCATGTTTGCTAACCAAGTATTTATTGTTATCATGTAGCTGGCTGACAAGATACTGCACTGAATGTTTGTCGAATAAGATTTGTTTGAAATGGATCTGAGTCAAGGCCTTGAAAAATCCAGATTTACTGCATTTTGTTCCATTATTATTATTATTATTATTGATTCGTTCCGTGCATCCCAAGTGGAATATAGGCATTCATCGTCACATTTCCGTCTCACTTACTTCTGTGATATGAATTTCATCTGGTTACACAATTTCCCTTCGATTTTACCTTGAAATTCGCACCAGACTTAATACCACCAGTTATTCGGTTTCCACTTGAAAACCTGATGTATGATATCTATTGAAGGCCTCTTCAGAGTATAATCAATCTACTTTAACTTCAAGTATTGATTTTTGTAGAGATTTAGTTTGATTGGTTGGAGGATTTCATCATGATTGGCTGACATCAGTTAGAGAACCATTGGATAACCACCAGGGAGTACAAGACAGCTGTTTCGTAATAGTCTAGGACTCTTCAGCAGTACGCATCCGCCGTCAGGGTTCGAACTCAGGACCTTCTGGTTACAAGACGAGCTAGCTCGTAGACCATTCATCAGCCACTGAGACCCGATCGAATAGCTAGCCCATGAATTCCAACTTCCGTCAATTCACGACATAGCTCTAACGCCAGCCAATATCTTCAGCGATTATTCTTTTGGATAACATGCTCTTCATCAAATTCTACAGTAATATGCATCCATAATAGTGAATGGATTAGTGTTATTAACAAAATTATTGTTTTCTAAATAACATCGAATCAGTAATAATAATATCGGTGTATTACAGTTCACTGGCATCAACATATCAATACACTGAATATCAGACAAATTAGGAGAGATAATATTACAAATCCATGAATTTATAGTCTTTAGTGAAGGCCAGGGCATTAGTAGTAGCTGGCTGAACTTGCTTCTTTTGCACACAAAGCACCGGTTGTTTTACGAGAATCACGACAGCCTTTGCCGTTTGGAGAATTCGGTAGCTGGATGTTTTTCGCAATTTATTTGCTATTCGATAAATGACAGAGAAGCATTCTTCACTGCTAGCTTTGTGGCTGGTTTGTGCCAGGAGTTCTAACATCGAAATGTTGATAGCTCTTACTACATCTATGTTTAGTCACAAAACTGGTAGATGTCCCCCAGCGAGCCCGAAAAATCAAGGTCTTAGAGCGATGGCCAATAAAACTTCCTCCAAACAGAAGTGCAGTTGAACTGGTAGATACAATCACAGTTGGCAAGGCTAGGTACTTCATCTTTCAACTGAGGAATCACCAACGGTCATGTAGCAAGTATGACTTGTAATCTGTCAGCATTTAAGTTTCTTTGAACTGATTTCCTCAACCTGTTAGTAATTATTTCGCTGGATATGTCGCCCTTGAATTGTAGTCGTATTTATAAAAGCTTCTTGTTTACGGATAGTGAAAAGTCCACGGGTCGATCTTTGACGAAATCTCAGCACGGACACAGGGGGCTTGTTTCGCATTTGCCAGTTTACGCCGTCTACGGCGTAGACGTGATATCCGACTATCGACCAAAGGGCGGATGTACTGCTCGTCAGTCCGATCCGTCCTCTTTTATGGCTGTGAGTGAGACCTGGCCATCGAGAGTGGAAGACTTGAAAAGATTACCTGTCTTTGATCATAGGTGCCTGCATTCTATCTCCCGTGTGAAGTGGTTTAACAAGGTGAGCAATATTGAGGTTAGGCTTCGGTCGAGTGCTAGATAAGGAGGGAGGGGAAATCAATCGACGAGGCTGTGAAGCATCTACATCTACTGAGATGGTCAGGACATGTGTTACGTATGCATGCCTAATCATCGCCTTCCTCGACTATGGGCAATGTTAACCGACTGACAGGGTCAGGCTTGAAAACAGCTAGCGGAGGTCAAACAAAAACTTGGCATGACCACTCAATGAAATCTACGACAGTTAGTCTAAGCCACGTAGGAAGGTGTAGACTTCCTGACTGGTTAGGGTCCTCGGGACGGTAAAAATCAATGGTTGGAAACAATTAGTGACATGGCTAGCTTAAAATCGTTCTCAGTGGCCGGTTTAGATGCATCCACTCCTTGTGACTTATGACTTCCAATGAAACTGTTTTGTTCTTCGCTATTACTATTCCTTTGTCTCACACCTCTGTTTACTGTCTCTATTATGCTTTTCTTCTACTTTCTTCTGTTGCTTTGTGTACTACATGGAGTGTGGCGACTTGAACTGGTACACATGGGTGCAAAGTTCTATGTCGAAAACAGACAGAGAGACAGACAGATGTAGTTAACTATTTCTACTAAAGATACATTTGTGAATAAAGTTTTATCCTTGATATTATTAGAAAACATAAAACTAAAAAATTTGAAAAGGACTTTTCACTATCCGTAAACAAGAAGCTTTTATAAATACGACTACAATTCAAGGGCAACATATCTAGCGAAATAGCTACTAACAGGGTAAGGAAATCAGTCCAAAGAACCTTAAGTGCTGAGAGATTACAAGTCATACTTGCTACATGACCGTTGGTGATTCCTCAGTTGAAAGATGAAGTACCTAGGCTTGCCAATTGTGAGTGCGTAACAACAGAAGACAAAGACCAGGCAAAACATCCTTTATATAGAAAATCAAAAGATATTTGTAGATTTTGATGTACATTCTTATTAGAGCTATTGTCAGCGGGGAAGCAACGTCTTCTGATTGGTCGTTTTCTTACTGAAGGTTATCCTGTACTGCTTGTGGCCGGCCGTTTCTTAGAAAGTTAGGCCATATATCTGCGGATCGTATTTGCACACGTTAAGTCTACTGTGATTGGTTGGTGAGTTCCTCAAGGTTAAACTTTGTTACTGTTTTATTCTCATGACCCCGATTTGGGATGTAAACATTGACGTAAATTGTTGTCTACAGTCTTGGCTTGTTCGCAGATAACTCTCACCGCCACTGTATCTACCAATTTAACTGGACCTCTGGTGGATCCAGTAAAGGATGACAATGGAAAGTCGATCACGCGCCCAACAATACCAACAACGGAAGCAGAACTACCAGTGAACATCGACCCGCCGACGAAATCAGAAGTCCTGAATGCTATCAAGCTGCTAAAAGATGGAAAACCAGCAGGACCAGACGGAATCCCAGCAGAAGCATTGAAAATGGACCCAGAGACAACAGCAGACTTGATGACACCACTACTTGAGAAGGTATGGAAAGAGGGCAAAGTACCCGAGGATTGGAAAAAAGGATACTTATTCAAACTACCAAAGAAAGGAGACTTAAGTCAATGTAAAAATGTAAAATGCTCCTGTCCATTCCAAGCAAGATACTAAGCCGCATCATCCTAGAGAGAATCAAACAAGCCCTAGATGAAAAACTTCGACCGGAACAGGCGGGATCCAGGAGAAACAAATCATGTATTGATCGAATCGCCACTTTACGAATCATCATTGAACAAAGCTTGGAATGGCAGTCACCTCTCTATCTCAACTTCATCGACTTTGAAAAGGCCTTCGATAGTGCAGCGTCGATCGAGAGGTGATTTGGATACTACTTCGCTACTACCCAGGAGTCCCGTCGACAATTATACATCTCATCCAACAGTTATACGACAATGCTGCATGCCAAGTAATCCACAACGGGAAACTTACGGAAGCATTCGAAGTGAGGACGGGAGTGCGACAAGGCTGTCTACTATCTCCAATGATCTTCCTGATTGCAGTAGATTGGATAATGCGACAGACAGCGGGCCGGAAAATGAGGAAACAGGCATAAAATGGACTCACACAAAAAACTTGGAGGATCTGGACTTCGCCCGTGATGATATATGTCTGATTTCCCACAAACTGGAAGGTATGCAAGTGAAAAGCAACAAGTTGGCTACAGAAGAAGCATCAAAGATAGGAATTCCTTCAGGTGAACGTATAGAAAACAGAGGTGACGAAGATTCCTGGCCAACATCAACAGCAGGAGCAACAAAAACAGACAACAATCAGCCAGCATAAATGGGAGGAACCTGAAAGAAGCAACCTCCTTCACCTACCCACCTACCTGGGAAGTATCGTTTCAACTACAGGCGGAACTGGCGAGGATATCAAAGCCAGAATCGGAAAAGCAAGACAAGCTTTCATTACTCACAAGTCTATGTCGAGGAGAACAACAGCACTCAGCATCAAAAATACGATCCGGATTTTCAACTCCAATGTGAATTCAGTGCTACTATACGGATCAGAGACTTGGCCATCGCGTCATAAAGAGCATGTCCAACAAACTTCAGACCTTCATTAACAGTTGTCTTCGCTCAATACTCAAGATCAGATGGCCAGCGGGCCAGAAAAGATCAGCAACAGAGATCTCTGGCAATGAGCGAACCAACCAACAGAGCAGCAACCGATTGTGAGACAAATAGGCAGGAAGAAATGGAGATGGATTGGTTGGCCATACGCTGAGGAAACCATCAATTGAGTGATATCACTAGACAAGCCATTGCTCAAGTGGAACCAGGCCGAAAGGGAAGCGGGCGGCAAGTTGGTCGTCAGTGGGAGGGTGGAGTGACTTGGAGGAGGTCATGTGAAGGGGAGGAGATGAAAGCATGTGGGCAGACTTGGAGCGGGATGAAAAAGTTTGCAGAAATCAGATGCGCAGGTGGAGGTGTGCAAGTGAAGCCCTATGTTTCTCTAGGAATTAAAGGATATAATAATAATAATAATAAATATGGTGGAGCGAGTTATACTGGCTGTTGCTCTAAGAACTTGAATTTTTTGGTACTTGCTTATGAGTATCTATCGGTGTTGTGACTAAAGTAAAGGTGTAGCAGAAACCATCAATAGTTCTCTAACTGTTATCAATCCATAATTAAATTTGATAAAAAAAAACTAAGCCCCTAGAAATTAATTCTTGAAAATAAATTTCATTTCAAAAATTATTTTTATCACACCAACCAAGAAGAAGTAATTAATAATGGCTTCATGATACGATAGAACAATAATAATAATAAGGGAATAGGGTGAAATTAGAGGTGAATCAGGTCAATTTGATTAACTAGTGAGAAAGAGTAGAAGTGTTATGGAAACCAAAACGCAAACTTTAACGTAGTTGTTGTTGTTGTTTTCTTTAAGAAAAATACACTAATTATTTTTGCATTCAATTGTATTTTATTACTACGCAAAAAAAAAATAATCCGATTAGGCATATGAATGATTTTCGTGAATTGAAAGTTATACGCAAGTCATGACTGTATCGTTTTTTGTTAGTTATGAGTACGTCATGTGTTATTGAAGAAAGACTATACCTTATTACGTAGGATGTTAAAGGTTGTCAGCAGGGTAAGCAGTTTGCCACTTAGCCAGCTTGTCAATATTCTGGTGGACAGGCATATGGACTCATGTGAAAAATGGGCGAAATCCATTTTATCTGACTCACAACACCCTCTACATTCACAACTCTCCCCATGTATCTCTTCAGGGAAAACAAGGAGCCTATATAGGAAATTATATGCCCGCACTAGTAAGTACAAAAACTCATCTATACCCTACCTAGCCCGTGTTCTGTGCGATAAAGAATGCATCAGGCATGAAACCTTTAACTTATTAAATAGTCAGTAGAACCAATGGATCTCGTCTTTCCAACTCACATCATTTATAGGTACAACGTTTTCTCGCTCTTCATTCTGTATTTTATTTTTGTTATGCGCTATTTTGTTTCTCTCTTCCTTGCAAACTCTACTTAAAACATTCTTGTTCGCTCTTTCACACTCTGTATATCTCGACCATTTTGCTATCGCTTACGCCAGTAAATATGCTAGTAGTATCTACTTTTCTAACACCTTCAAACACTCCGTTTAAATTTTGGCTTTGCTACCGACATACTAATATGTTGTTGAGATAACTTTAATCTATGTAGAACTTTATTTATTGTTAATGTAAAAAACTGGATGCAATATTGTAGTAAAATGCTGAGAATTCCATTCTGTATCACAAGTACTGATTTGGAATAAAGCTTGTGTTATGTTATGTACTCGTCGACAAATTATTATTATGGACTGGTCGAGAACTAATAGTCCTGACGCAAGAAGGCGGAAATCAGAAGACCACTAGGTTTGCGATGATACTTCTATTTTCCAAACACAAGGAGAAGCAAATAGTGGTATCACACCAAAGTGGTAAGTAAGTAAGTCATACAAATTGAGAGAACGAAATATATATATGAATGTTCAGACAAAGGTGTGAACAATCATTAGACAGTCTTAACATGAATGGCTAATTATAATGAAGTATTGATCCATATATACAAAGCAAAATATAGCAGACATGTCAACAACCACCATATATGGATATATGTCACCAAGCAACGGACTGTCAACAAACACTCATATTATATATAATATAATATAAGGGGAATATACATTGTTAAAGGAGACAGGTTCATACAAGTGAAATGGTCACAGACTAAGCGAGCAAACAGAAAGAGAGACCAACATACACATACACATAAATATATACATGTGGATACATATCATCATGATATTGCCAATTTAAGAAGTCACTTCCTTTTGACGTCTTCTAGGGGTAATTTACCTTTGGGATTCTGACAACAACAAAAAAACGAATCATTTTAGAACCTATTACCCTAAAAATATACGGAAGGAAGTTAATGTAGAATTGCATCATGAGCTGACATTAGTTAGAGAACTATTGGAAAACCTGCAGGGACAGATGTTTCGGCCTAGTTTGGCACTCTTCATTAGTACGCACCAACACGGCACCTTCTGGTTACAAGGCTAGCTTGTAGACGATTTAGCTAGCCTTGTAACCAGAAGGTCCCGGCTTCGAACCCTGACGGTGGCGGGTGCGTACTGTTGAACAGTCCTAAACTAGGTTGACGGAATAACTGGCTATCCAGTATTTCTTGCAGATTTTCCAATGGTTCTGTAACCGATGATGTCAGCTCATGATGAAATCCTGTAACCAATCAATCAAATCCCTATAAACCAATACGTGAATATCAATACTCGAATATTCTATGTTGAGTAACTATTCTTTTGAAAAAAAAATTAATCGGCATTTTTGATCCACTAGAGAACAATTGAAACCCTCCAGGGAATGCCTGACAGCCATACTTACTTTACTTCGGCTATCTCCTACGGGAGGATGAGCCGGCTTCATGAACATCTCGAATCATCGCTTCCCAGGCTCGGCGATCTGATGCAAGGTTTTGCGACAGGGTAATCCAATTCTTGTTCCACAGACGGAGTCCGTAGACGGTTTGTAGCCCCAGCCCAGACACTCCATATCAGCCTTGACTCTACTAAGCCATGTTTTCAGCTGTCCGCCCCTGCGACATCGCCAGGATGGAAATGGAAAGCGAGGGATTTAGAATTGATTTGACCAGATCGTCATCTGGTCGGCGCACAACATGGCCAAACCACCGAAGGCGACGTTGCTGGACCAGTACTGGAATTTGGTTGATGTTGTAGAGAGTTCATGAAGTTTCATGGGAATTAGGTATGAGTGATGTCCCCAGCATCGCTCGGCCTTGTGTTTGGGTGCAGCTCTAGCCTTTACACAACCAAGTGTGACCTACAAGGCAGTTGGAGTGGAGTAGGGAGTCCACTATCCATTGTCAACCAGCCGGTGTCCGGAGTCCGGTTCATACGCCTTTTTGAATGGGGCCAGACATCCAGGGCATCCAATAAGCCCTTTGTCCATACATCTGCCGGTGAGCTCCGGTGAGCTTCATACGCCAGTCGTTGGAGGTTTGGAATCAGGGTTTAGCCATCTCCCCTAGACTGTCATCCAATGGACAGTCAACCCAGTGAAAAGCGCCGGGCATCCGCTTTTACCCTCTCACTTCGGTGAAAAACACCTCCGCCACATGAAGGCAGTGAGTAGGACTTCCTCAGGAGAGGCTATGTAAGACGCCCTGACAGCCATCTATTTCATCAGCCTAGTTTGGGACTCATAAGCATTATGCGCCCACCAGCTGGTTTTCCAACACAGGAGCTTCCGGTTACAAGTAAGGCTGGTAGATAGACCATTCAGTTATTGGCGCCTAACAACTCAGTGGCTATTCCATGAATTCTAACTGTTACTGATTTGCATTTTCAACGCGACCACTACCAACCAGCCAATCCCATTGTGGCGGGGAGGGGGTATTAGTCCTCACTTCTGACTTTCTGGTAGACCCCACCACTGGTCATACGACTTCTTACTAGGTAACTCAAGGAAGCAATGTCGTCCTGTAATCGGCCAGTTACTCGTTAGCGAGGATCAGATTAATTTTCCAGAGTTAGGTTGCTATGGGGATTTGATTTGTTTTTCAGATTTCACCAAAATTGAAAAATTTATATTTTACCATAAAACTATGTTTTTTTAATTTTTCTTAACCTTTTAAAAAAATTTAAGCTAATTAACAAAGCTGGTATTTCGTTAGACGATCCTAGACTGGCCGAGTTTACAAAGGCGTTGAAAGAACTTCAAGGAAATAAAACCAATCAAAATGTAATTCAGAGTAAATCATTAACATTGGACAGGGAGAAATTTGAACTGTAAGCAATCCTTATTATTAGTAGTATTATTATTACTATGACTATTATCATTGTTTGAAACAATTAGTTCTCTTAAAGTAATATGATGGATCCATTTCTTCCTATTTGCCACTCGTCATTAGCTGGATAAACCTACATTTCCAATCAGTCGACGAGGCTATAAAGTTACATAGACTAAGATGGCTAGGTCACGTGCCTAACGCGCATGCCTAACCACCGCCTCCCCCACCAGATGGGCATTGCTAGCTGATATAGGTGGTGCAGGTTGGAAAAGAGCCAGTGGTGGCCAAACAAAAACATGGCCTCATCAATCCATGAAATCCTTGACAGTTAAACTGAGTCAGGTCAGGTAGGGTAGGAGATGCAGACTTCCGGGTTGGGGCCCTCGGGACTGACTCTAGGAATCAATCAGTGGCTGGAGACAATAGGTGACATGGCTCAAAATCGTTGTCAATGGCCAGCTCAGATGTATTCAGTCTCTGTAATCTTTCATATTCCTTTCTACCATTACCCATTCTGTTTCACTCTTATACTTGTCAGACTGTTTGATTCTCCTCACTCATCTTCTTGTCTACCTCTGTGTGGTATTTGGAACGTGGCAACTCGAACTGGTGCACCTCGGTACCAAGTTCTATGTTGAATCCAGACAGACATTTTCTCCCAGTGAGACAGTGATGATTTTTCTGTCCCCCCAATGAGACTCGAACCGCCAAAGCACCATCTACTAGACCACTTGGAAGAGTTATAAACTTTTGTGCAAGCGGGTGTCAATCCAATTTTGATGATTCTATTATTTGATTGAACGGAAATGTTAGGTTTCTGTATTGCCACTTTGTCAGCTCCTAATACGGATGCTTCAATGATATCTGGGGATTAACTTGAAGTGATTCGGTGAACGAAAATGCTCCTCCTGGATTCCACTGCTGACAGTTGCTATCCACCGAGTTAACGTTAAGTTAAGTCCTCAGACATCGTTATAGCAGCCAAACAAGGAGCTGACATATTAACAGAGAGGCTGGACAGTTCATTTCGATCAATCAAAGGGAAAATTAAAAAAAAATTGAATTTAAAATACGTGATGAGTAGTTCTCTTTGTGAATTTTGACAAAAGATTATGATGGTATAATTTATCTGGATCGCGTATTGTGAATTCGCTCAACACATTTCGAAAAATCTGACCACACAAGTACTTGCCATAGGAATATATATATATATATATATATATAGTGCATTATCTCTCCTGGTATTAAAACAAATTTCACCCTAGGAATGTTTAACGTCATGACGAATTGTTTTTCAAAACATTTAAGGGCGGTATAAACTCCCTAATCGAGCTTGGCTGCCACAAACTTTAGGATACGCCGAAAACACGGTTTATAGACAAATTTATGTCATGTGTCTATGATTTGTTCTGATGAAAATAAAACACGTAGTTCAGTGAAGAGTCTCTTTTTCGTGGCGAATTCATCTACTTAGCTATACAATCACAATTATATGTAGTTATTATATAATTGAATTTTAGATTTCCCCGTCGATTGATTAGAGCGAAGTGCTCAGTCTCAGGTTGATATGTTGGCTCCTCCTTGTGTAGATGCTTCGACGATGTGTCTTGGCATTGAATCTAGGACTTAATTGGAGGACGGTGGCTAGCATTGGAAGCCAGGATGCGCATTTCGTTCAGTTCCGGCCTCGTCACCATCTGGCTGTACCTGCATTCCCCAATGAGAGTGAGAGATGGTGTTCCCACGGAGACTCGAACTCATTAGCCATAGTTTCAAACGCCGAAGCGTTATCCATTGTACCACTTGGGCCACGAGAGCTACCTCCTGCATTCAATGATTCATATTAACTATTTAATTGGATTTTAGATACCACTGCTAGTCACCATCCACCGATTAACTTCTAATTGCATGTCAAGACATGGTCGAAGCATCTGCACAAGGAGAAGCCGACATGTCAACCTGAGACCGAGCACTTCGCTATAATCAATCGACGGGAAAATCTAAAATTTAATTAAATAATTAATAAGACCCGTTGCACAAGAGGTGGCTCTCGTGGCCCGAGTGGTCTAGTGGATACCGCTTTGTCGTTTGAAACTATCGGCACTGGGTTCGAGCCTCGGTGGGAATGCAGGTACATCCAGCTGGTGGATGAGTCCCGAATAGGACGGAATGCGCATCCTGGATTCCACTGCTAGTCACCCTTCACCAATTAGATATTTTTAGTTATTTTTTGTATATGTGCATACATTAGCTTCGTATGATAAGAATAAAAATAAGTTAGGGTTATTGTTGTGTCAGAACATTTCAAAAATGTGATCAGTGATCACATTGTAACTAGGGGATATTGAAGATTTGTAAGAGGGTAATGGTTATCCGTTGTCCCTTTCTTCACATACAACTAACAAGACCACCTGGCGGAACTGCAATAGGGTCAATCCAGTGAGGATGGGACATCTTAAACCCTACGTATGATTCTAAATGAAGCAGGAATTAGGATGGTGGCATTCAAACCTACAAACTAACTCAGGGACAATCTTTGTATGCTAAAGGACCCGGTGGACCCAATTAAAAAAAATAATATAATTTACAAAATACCCTGCAATGAGTGTGAGTTATGTCAACTACATAGGTCAAACTAGTAGATCTGGAGTAGTGTGATTGTCAGAACATATGAATTTAGCTAAGGGTAGAAAGATCAATCTCTGTCGGAAATAAGTAAGGAATCGCACCGCATGCATTAACCCACAACCATACAATAGGGTGGGTGGGATAGAGTCAGAATTCTAAAAAGTAATATACGTAGGTGGGGACAGAGAGAGAGAGAGATTGATTACTCAATCCTGGTTCATCGAGTTAATCTACACCCAACATATGCAACAGAAATGACTCAATGCGAAGGTATGCATGGAAGATATTATTACCACCAGTAAGTCAGTCAAATCAGAAGAGGATAATAAATAATCTTAAAATTCTAGTTCATTTCAAACACACCACAACATTTTGTCTGTTTTCGACATAGAACTCTGCACAAATGTGCACCAGTTCAAGTCGCCACACTCCGTGTAGCACGCGAAGCAAGAGAAGAAAGTACAAGAAAAGCATAATAGAAACAGTGAGCAGAGGTGTGAGACAAAGGAGGAGTAATAACGAAGAACAAAACAGTTTCATTGGAGATCATAAGTCACAGGGAGTGGATGCATCTGCGCTAGCCACTGAGAACGATTTTGAGCTAGCCGTGTCACCAATTGTTTCCAACCATAGATTTTTACCGTCCCGAGGACCCCAGCCTGGAAGTCTACACCTTCCTACGTTGCTGGCTTAGACCAACTGTTGTGGATTTCATTGACTGGTGAGGCCAAGTTTTTGTTTGACCTCCGCTAGCTTTTTTCCAGCCTGACCCTATATCCGCTAACATTGCTCACTGTTGAGGGAGGCGATGGCTTGGCATACGTAACACATGTCCTAACCATCTCAGTCTTTGTAACTTCACGACTTCCTCGATTGATTTCCCCTGTTTACCTAGAACTTGACCGACCCCTAACCTCAATGTTGCTCACTTTATTATGCCACTTTACACGGGAGATAGAGCGCAGGCACCTATGATCAAAGACAGCTAGTCTTTTCATGTCTTCCACTCTGAGTGGCCACAACATTCTAACAAGTTACTTATATATTTTGACTTTTAAAACACTCGTATAATTTCCCATCTGATTGTATTTGATTGATAACATTCATATTATTATTATTTTTGAATGTACATTATCCTGTACTGAATTCTATTCAAATCTCTAATCATCATTTTCACTCATGTATATAAATGAAGTAAAAAAGTTGTGTGAGTGAGCAGCTTGATATGATTATGAGTGACAATAGTTTGTGCTCGAAACGTTGTCATCAGTTAATATTACTGTAAAAACAACACTGTGTGACTTATCCCAATAAAATCTTATCTATAACGGAGTTATACTCTACCACTGTGCCTAAGTTTTATACTTATATCCTTTGAGGCCAGTTATGTCAGCGGTATTCAGCGTTCGCTATCCAAACACCACCAACGAGAATGATTGTTATCGCACTGAAATCACGAACTAGTAGAAGTTTGGTCTTAGTGGCTGAATGCTGTGTGAGTTAGCTTGCCATGTAACAGGTAGGTCCTTGGTTCGAGCTCCAATGGGTACATACTGCCGGTGATTCTTAAACTAGGAAGAAACAGCTGGCTGTCCGGTACTCCCTGTGGTTCTCTAACTGATATCAATCCGTGGTCAAACTTGTATAAATAATTTTATCTTATATAGAATTACATTCTGCCAGCATAGTGTCCAAGTCCACCACTTACATCGAAAAGTTTTGTTTTCAAAGCCTTTCTCCTATGATCTAATATGCATGCATTCTACGATGAATCAATTCACCGGATGTGAAAAAATAATTTAAACAATCAGGTTTTTTATACACACACAAGATATATGTGTGTGCAGGAACAATGTGGTTATTAATTATGCAATAATCAGGCTTCACTTTGATATATATATATATATATATATATATATATATATATATACATATACATATACATAAGATAAAATTCTGATCAATGATGGTAAAATTCCAGATCAAAGGTAAATAATTGCATAATGTGTCATATATATCTGATTATAATAATAATAATAACAATAATAATAATAATAGTAGTAGTAGTAATAATAACAATTATTTTGAGGTCAATGGTAACAAAAGTACAAACTGAATCTAATTACATCATTTTCTCTGAGATTTATGTGCCAACAACTCTTTGAAAAGATCCATATACAAAAAGCCTACATGGAATGGAAAATTCATCAACCTTCAAAGCTTCATACCCCTAAGCAGAAAGAGCAGCCTGATATACACTCTATCCTTGAGGATTCGGAAGATATGCAACGATGAAGTGATTGAAGAAGAACTGCGTAATCTCCGAAAAAAAACCCTGATGGAAAACGGTTTCCTCCCCCGCGCCCCCCC